AAAACTTGTAGAATAACTGCTATTCTGTGTGGCAGCTATTATCAAGGCTAAAGTTAACAGTACTGAAAAACAGTTTCTTTTTTTATTACCCTTCTAAACATCTGGAAAATCCGATTTAAATCATTTTTTTAAAATTATGTACATTCCAACAGCAAAGTTAAATGCAGACACTGACTCAGCTCCTTGCACAAACAACAACAACAAAAAAAACGTGTAGGCTGGGACAGAGTTAATAATGGGAGATTTTAACTACCCTGAAAGTGACTGAAGCAATGACACTGCTGAAAAAGTAAAAGGGTGGAAATGTATAAAGGCATTGTAAGACAATTTTGTGTTATAGTTTTTTAGAAGCCCCAATGAAGAACGATGCTTTGCTGGACCTGGTGATCTCAAAATATGCAGAGTTTATTAATAATGTTCATATAAAAATAACATCTGGGTAGCAGAGACTATAACATGATTTCAAAGACCACAGCACAAAAAAGGGAATGTTTCAAATCAACTGAATGCAAACACACTGCAAAATATTTCCCCATGAACAAAAAAAATGTAAAGGCTAAAAGTAAAATGTATGTGGCTCACACCCAAAGTTAAAAAAGGTATAAACAATAAGAAAAAGCTATTTAAAATATATAAACATGAAGGATTACTACTGTAGGGAACTGTTATTTTATACACTAGTTGTGGTTTGTTTACATTCATATACAGCCACTACCATAGAGGTCCCATTACAGACAAGTCCCTAGGTGTGCTTCCTGCCCCTGCAAGGAGGTCAAGAAACCCCAGGATGTTATATAGTTTGTTTTTCCAGGAAGTATCAGGCAGAGGGTGCCAGCCTGCCATGTGCTGTGTATCTGGGGAGAACTGTATGGTGATTCTGTGAGTATTGATCCAGATTAACAAGGCTGCTATCTATCTAGTTGTTACTGAAGCAGATTAGGTCTGCTTCTGTTATATTTCAATATATATATATATATATATATATATATATATATATATATATATCAGTGTTTTCACCTGCATAAGACTGTCAGGTGAACTTTCTGTTAATTGCAGTGTATCTTTGCAGCCTCTTTGCTCAAAGCCATAGCACCCTTATTGGTCTGGATCTCCCTTTAGCTAGGATTAGCATAGGGAGTGTTGGATAGATTAGGCTAGAGGTAGGTTAGGCATCCGACGGCCACTTAGACAGATAAAGGCCCGGTTTGCGGTGACAGCCCAGTTTAGGGATAGGGACTAATAGTAAGGAGAGATAGGGCATTTTATCCTTTTAGGTGATGCATCGCTGATCGTCAGAGAAGCAGTGCAATCATCCGCATAGAACGTGTTACTTGGACGCCATCGCAGCATCTGAAGTGGAAGCGTGCATCTTATTGACTCTCACCTCTCCAGGGGCCCCTGCAACCGGACTGCGCTATAACCCATGGTTGGAGGTATTCTGTATACCACATGCACATATACCCGGGTATAATTGCAACCTCCCAATTTATGGTAAATTGTAATTCCTGAATGTTATTCTTATGCATCCTGTTTTATGTGGCTGTTTATTGTAAACTTTGCATTATTCTCATACAGGTGTGGTGACATGTTTTCATGTTAGAAATATAAGCTGGGTGCATTAATACTGCTATGTATAGTTACTTTAAGTTGTCTACCTGTTACATTCCTAGAAAGGGGTGAGTCTCCTCAATTGCAGGATCCCTATTCTAGGTGGAGGCACTGCCATTTGTGTTATCGCAACCCCCCCTCTTCCATATAGCGAAGGCTCAGGATTGCCTACTCATATACAGGTTAGCGCCATAGCCTGTTTGGTGTGGGCCATTTCACATAACCCCCCCCAAAACAGGGCTACACTACCATCACTTAAAATTTACAATGAATATAATAAAATATGTAACCATGAAATCAAGGCTACAAAATTTCAAAACAAATGACAAGCTGCAAATGAAAGTAGGACAACCCCCCCCCCCCCCTCCCAAAATTCTTCAAATGTATTAACATTAAAAAGGTCAGGCCTGAGCATGCAGCACGAACAGATGCAATAGACCCACATGTCCTCAAATAGCTTTGTTATTTTGAAGCCATTGTTTCCATAATGGCTGACTTGGTACCATTAGATTGGTGAAAGGCCAATGTGACACCTAATAAAAGAGGGATCAAAGACTTTACGAAGTATCTACACATTTGTTAGTTTAACTTCTATAGTTGGGAAGATACTTGAGAGTTTGATAAAACACCATAGTAGAATTTTTGCTACAAAACCACATTGTTAGCAATAGTCAGAAATTGTCAAACAAATCTGCTTTCTTTTTATGAGAAAGTAAGCAAAACTGTAGACAAAAGGAGTGGCTGGGGATAAAGTATAATAGGACTTTGTGAGAGCGTTTGACACAGTTCCTCACACATAGCTAATGGGTACGTTAAAATGGCTGTAAACCCTTATATTTACCCAGTGAAATATAGATGAAATGTTTGCACATCAAGAACAATAAAAGCTGCAAGCACACAAAAGCCTCGTACACATGATCAGAATAACAGACAAATGATTGTCCGTTTTTGTTTGCATACTGAAAACTAAGGTTACTCAACAATGAAAATTCTTGTACGACAGAACAGAATTTTGGAAGTGATGTAATGGATTTGTATTGTATTTTCGGATGAAAACCATACTAATTAAAACAAAAAAAACATATGATCTAGTATCGTACGAGAACATTTTTCATGTTTGTCCCTTCTGATAATTTTGGATGAACTGTTGTGAACAGCTCTTGAAAACTGTGTACTAACATATATTGTACGTTCACATTGACAGCGGTATTTTTCATACGATTTTTTGATCGTGCGCACGAGGCTTTAGTGTGTTTTTAATAAATATTGTGTTTAATGCATGCCGCTCTAAAAATAAATACATTTCAAAATTTCTGCACATTGTCTGTATTTTTGGTCAGTTTGTACTTTTTACCAGTTGTTGCTCGCCCACAGTACATTTGCTGTGAGCAGGCAGCAGCTGCAGGCACTGCGACGTACCTACACATGCGCACTGGCAAGGCATTGGACACAGTGCTCGGTGACCAATCATAGCGATCACATGATTACACCTAAGCAAAAGTGTAATGAATGGCTTCCGTTCATGACAGCTTGCTTACTGTTGTGATGCTGTGATTGGCCCACAGCTATCACATGAGATTAGCTGTAGTCAATCACAGCATGACAACAGTAATCAAGCTGTCATGAATGAAAGCCATTCATGACAGTTACAACTATTGCTTATAACAGTTATCATCACTGTTATAAGCAAAAAAAAATAAAAAATCCCCGATCAACCCTCCCCAAGAGTAGGCAGTAAAGTGTAAGTGTGGTGACGCTGAACTACTCTGATGAATCTATGTAAAAAAAAAAAAGTAGCACAAAAAGAAAAAAATGTGTTAAAAAAATATATTTTTTTTTTTCACACACTGTCACAAGTCACTATCCATGATGTGTTTGGAGACACATTCAAGTTAATTTATTTTTAGAACAGCAGGTTGTTCACACAATATACCAATTGAAATGCCTACCCTCATGTAATACTCAGAGATAAATCAAATCATTCTACATATGTTGTACCTGTTTATCTGAGGCCTTCTCTTCTCTACAGCCATTCAAATTGCAGAATTTATACAGCTTGTCTGAGCTTACTGAAGGTAGAGGGCGGGAAGCTGAAGTTACACTCAGTGAGTAGAACTGGGGGGCTGATTGGAGGGAAGGGAGGGACACCCCCCCTTCACAGAGCACACAGGAATAAAGCTGTGGCTTTCAATCACGGGATGTGCTGGAGGTCCCTCCCATCACCTTTTTACCTCTTGGTGTCAGGGAAAACTTGTCAGAAGTGACTTGTGCAGATAGCAAAGGAACAAAGAAGCAGACAGAACTGACAGTTTATGCTCTGTGTTGAAACATGTACACACTATACAAGGATATGCTTTGTTTATCTCTCACGTCAGAGGTGTATAATCGCTTTCAAGTGTATAGGCTTAGATAATTCAGTTTGTAAATTAATAGAAAACTGGCTAAAAGACTGTATTCAGAGAGTAGTGATTGATGATTCATAATCTGAATGGTCTAATGCTATTAGTGGTATACCCCAAGGTGTTGGGACCCTTACATTTTAACCTATTTATAAATTATATAAAGTTTGGGATTAAAAGTACTTTCTTTGTTAGCTATGAAATAGAATATCTTCTCCAACTTACCATTAAACCTAAAAACAAAAGATGTAATATTTTGCACCTTACTAATTATTAGATGTTGTGGCTGCATTAGTTTGTTTTTGTTTTTTTTTTAGGCTTTCCCTCTCTTTTTTCACCTGGTGATCTGGTGAGTAATATGCCTCCTGTATTAGAGTGTCCCAACTCTGGATGAATGAGCACAGGGGAAACAGCAGTATTGTCTGTCTGGGCAGGAGGGAGGGAAGTGTTAAAATGTACTAGCTAGATGTATTTAAACAATAAAAAAATTGAAGCCATATTCCAGCTCACACTTTCTAAGCAGTTACAGCAGTTTTTTTCATTTTGGGATAAAGGTTTTCCCATGAATAATTAAAAGCTGATCATAATAAGCACCCCTACCATTGTTGAATAGTTTGTCTCATCCCTATAAACTGATACATCTGCAAATGAGCTTGTTTCTTTTGAAAAACAACAGACTTGCTGGCTGAATACCCAGATATAAATAGAAGAAAGAAAGCTTATAAAGGAAAATTAATGCAGCCCCCACATCTAAGTATTGGTAAGCTGCAATATAACACGTTTTGCTTTTAGGTTTAATAGTGCTTTAAATTCACAAATTGATAAGCCATTGGCAACTGAGACGTCTTGTACATATTTTTGCACAATACATACCAATCTAAAAAGGGGTTGTATTATTTTTATTGCTTGCTGTACAAAACAAACTATATTACATTGTTGACACAGAGATAAAAATGAAGGAAAAAAACAATACTAACAGTTTCTAGAAAATACCTTTGTTATGCAAGTAGTTCAAGGCTTCAGCAATATCTCTCACAACAAAACTGGCTTCCCTTTCATTGAAATGTCTCCTTTGGTGAATGTGATTTAGTATTGACCCTGTAAAAAAGCAAAACAGCAGTACTGTATTAAGGTACTCAAACTCATTGGTTATATCCAGACCAAGGTTTCCTGAATTCGTTAAAGCCTCTCCCAACTGTGAACACTTTCTGTACCTTGAAATTCTGTAAAATTGTACTTTTACACTCCACATAAAATCCTTTATCTACATTAGTTTTAACAGACCCAGCATCCCACCCACCTCTGCATATAAGCCCTGCCTTGAGGTGAATGGGCATTAGGCAAACCAGATACACAACTCCATCTAGTGGCTAAACCCCTTTACACACTGAAACGCAGCAGTAAGCAGTGAGTAAAATGGTAATAACCATCCTAACTGCAGCAACAAGCCAATGTGCAGAAATTATAATAAAAAAGTCACCTTGGCCATTTAGGGAATGCAGTCATTGGGAAAAATGCTAATTGTTCTGTAAACGGCACCCATGACAAGCAGATGACCTCCTGTGGTTACTATGCAGCCATGCACCTGCTCATCACAGGACAGTGGCAAACACTTTACTAATGGAGACTTCTACAAGGATTCTCCACTTTCACAGCGGTTCCACAGGAATGGCATATGCATGCTTACATTGGTCCAAGGTGGTCTCACACTTAGTTGCCTGATTACTCCAGTAGGGGAGTGATCCAAGATGCCCTTGGTCTCCATAGGTACAGAATGCATAGTTTGAACATGTTCAGCTGTGTCAGAGCCAGATCATTTCTCAACAGTGTATAATAAGTGTATGATGAGTAGCACAGGTATGCTCTGCAGTGACATTAGCCACAGTTTCAGCAGACCTAGTTAATCGTAAAGTTTACCCAGCAAGATCATCATGCCAGCAGCAACAGATCCCACCAAGAAAAAGGGATAACAGTGTTAAAATAACGCACACCACGAAAAGAGGAAGAGGTAACATTCAAGAAATAAGAAAAGAATAGAAGCTATGACACACTCTAATATAAAAATATTACAAAATGTATGAAAATGTATATTTCCGTCCATTTAAATAAGATAAAGTAAATGGAGTGAAAGTAAGTAGGAGAGAGTAAAGTGAGTGAAAGTAAGAAAGAGTAAAGCGAGTGAAAGTTGAATTAAAATGTTCTCCTACTGCGGTACTTGGATGTTTCAGTGGTTCAATGGGATTACTGCTGGCAGATTATGAGTAGTTTGTGTTGAGAAAAGTGGTCGAAGACAGCTCCTTCATTTAGCTTTCTAGCATTTCAAGATTTAATATTGCATTTAAAGGCAACTATTTTCCTTATTCAACCATAACCTAGCTGTGAGTTGGAGGTAAAGCAAGCATTAGTGGAGCAGGCACACAACAACTAGAGCCCAACTGGTAAGTTGCAGAGTAAGAATAAATGACCATAATATTAGAGCCATTTAAAGTGAATAGTGAACTATCAGGAACAAACGAAAGATCAAAAGGGTCCCAATAGAACACAAGAAAAACAAAAAATACACAAAGGAAGACAAATAGTAGGTGGACCCATCAGACCACATACATAGTAAACGTGTTGCAGATCGGTGCAAACTCATATCTAACAAAAATATAGACACAAGTGTCCAGGATAAGATACTCTCGGGTGAAACAGATCGAAGATACATTTTGTAATCCAGGGAATCAATTAGCTGTCATATCTGAACAAGCATGCTCAGAAGTAAGCAAAAGTGAGATCACCAAGGATCCTTAAGAAGGTCCAAATAAGAGATAGAGGTGAAAGTGTAGTAGGAGAATGCTCAGAAACAGCCAACAGTATGGCAACAGGAAGAGGTAGAGGCCAGATTAAGGCCTCATGCTCACTAGGCATTTAAATTTCTCCTCTGAATGCCTTTTACTCATGGCAGGAAAAAACAGCTTATAAAAAAAAAAAAAAGCACCTAAAGCCAGGTACTTAATGCACGTTTAGGTGCAGCATTTGAGCTATTATCCATTCCACTGGCCAGAATATTCTTTTTTTTTTGGGCCATTGGAATGAGCACTCAAGCGTTAAACACGTTTTTCTGCCAATGAGCCCAAACATAGGCAGGGGTATGGGCTCTTTAGAAATATCACTGATACCTTTGGAACAGGTCAAGCTACTCAAAGGCCACAGAGGGCGAGTAAAAAAAAAGGGCGACAAAACCATCAATCTGGCAGGATAACCTCTTTTGACATCCTGAAACCAGCCTGCTGCCTCTAAACCTCTTGAGAGAAATCATAAAAAGTATTAATCTCATGCCCTTCAAGTTAATTTCTTTGAGTTCCCTCACTCTTCTTAACAAGAACCGATGGGATCAAGCAACCACATTTCTTTAAGTTTTTATTAAGTTTTAACAAAAAAATTATAGCTACATTTTGGTTTATACCCCCTGAACCAGCTGATACACCATATTGACCAGGTGGTGGGAAAACTCTCAGACATGTGGTCTTGAGGCAGGAAGGTAAAAATTTATCTGAGTGCAGAACCAGCAGCTTAAAAGAAGACCTTAAGAAAAAGCAGGATATGCAACAGGAATAATTTTTGTGTTTTTGAGGCAAGATTTAAGCAATGGTGGTGATGTCCTCTTCTCTGATAGGTAGCAAATATCAAATTTAGGAGTAAATACCGTTCCATTAGAATGTTTCCACTGTCAGCAGAGTATCTTTTTTGTCCCTGAGAGCCTGTCCGATTTCTAAAAATTCCCAAAAAATCCCTGTGGTGCAGTCCCCCATGGTTTACTGTGTCCATGGGTACAAGAGGCAGTGGTGTGAAGCAGGTGACAGTGCAAAAAGCAGATAATCAAGGTCTTCTTCCCCTTGGCAAAGGAGGATCTGTATTGGGCTTTATACTCCTAGGCAGGTGAACTGGAAGAGGTGCCCCCCCTAGCAAAGGGACATGACAAAATGGTGCCCTAGGTGGCTAATTCACCAGCCACAGCACTTAGAGCAAATAGAGATGTTAGTGACCCCACTCTGGTGCCCTTGCTCAGTTTAACACTGCATTCCCCTCAATACAGCTTATTACCCCTCATAGAGAAGGAAAGCATAGGTAAATATCTAAAACAGAGCTCCAAACTGTCCACAGTGGTGAATATCTGGAGGTCAGGTGTGATGCATGATAGCCACTTTAGCAAATATCAGAATCTGATAAGTTTGATATAACACTGAGATTCATGCTGGCGGCTGGAACGAATATCCAGGATCTGAGGGTTCAGTGTAAAACTGCCAACAGTAATCAATAGATCATCTTGTATGATTCTTCAAGTTCAGAATCTTAATCCAGCAGAGCTGGAGAGAGACATTCTATTTCTTCACCGAAATTCCAAACTGGGCTTACTTAGGGGCTTATTTTCCTAACCTCAGATGTCAGATGCATAAAAGATCTGAGGCTCCCCTGCTGGATATTGGGAAAAAAATATACGTTTCAATATGCTGTTAAAAATAAACTACTGAAAAGCAGCAGCCTGAAAGCCAAAAGCAGTAAAATCATGAGAAGCTTTCTCACTGAAATCAACGTTGTGGCAGTTGTACATTACATTACCAAGGTTATCAGTAACAACTCATAACAAAATGGAAAATAGAGATTACACAAAATGTTCTCGAACACTCACCACCATACATCTTCTCAAACACCAAGAAGAATTTTTCTTCCTCCTCAAAGAACTCAATTAGTTCAAGGACATTGCTGTGACAAACAAAAAGGTTGTTAGAGGTAGGTTCCAACCACATAATTGTCTACTTGTCACCTTTTGCATTATTACGATCATATTCACTCTTACCTGTGACCTTGACACTGATAGAGCATTTCAACCTCTCTAAAAAACTCTGTTTCTGCTATGACCAGGTCTCTTTTCTATGATCTGAGATGCAAAATATTTAGATGTTTACAAAAGAGGAACTTGAAATAGTGAAGCAAAAACATTTTGTATTTCATATAGACATGTTACACAGAGTTCAGAAACTTTACATCAGGCCCAAACCATAAAAATCTTATAAGCAAATGCCCCTACCACTCAATTCTACAAGTATGATTTTGGATTGTTGGAGATAAAATAGAATACCTGGAGAAAACCAACAGTAATAAGGGGTAACAAGCCAAGTTTATGAAGACCGTGTCTTTAGACTACAGATCCAGAGCTGCAAGGCAAGGGTGCTACTCACTATACTTCCATATCACATCAATTAACCAATAGACATTATGACTAATGATGGTCTATTCCAGGGGTGGGCAAACTTTTTGACTTGAGGGCCGCAATGGGTTCATATATTGGACCCGGGGGCTGGACCAAGAGTAGATGAATGATGTGTATGTGTCATCCATAGTAAGTATAGTAATATTCCCCCATAGTAAGCATAGTAATTCATCCCCCATAGTAATTCATCCCCCATATAGTAATTCATCCCCCATAGTAATTCATCCCCCATATAGTAATTCATCCCCCATAGTAATTAATCCCCCATATAGTAATTCATCCCCCATAGTAATTCATCCCCCCTATAGTAATTCATTCCCCATATTAATTCATCCCCCATATTAAGTCCCCAAGTCCCCCCTGTGTCAATTTACTTACCTTTTCTCCGCGTGTTCCTCTCGCCGTGTTCCCGCGCCGTTCCGGTCTTCAGGGCGGACTGTGAGAGGAGCCTAGCTCCCCTCACGTTCGTCACGCTGCCCCGCCTACACACATCCTGACAGCCATCCTGACAGTATCACGCTCCGCAGGCCGGATTAAAAGGTCCACCGGGCCGTAGTTTGCCCATTGCTGGTCTATTCCAAGATGTGCAGGCATTTTGTCAAAGAATAATTCCATCTAAAATTGAAAATATCTATGGACTGGATTAGAGCAGGGGTCTCCAAACTTTCTAAACAAGGGCCAGTTTATTGTCCTTCAAATTTTAGTGGGGCCATACTGTGGCCAGCGGGAGTGGACATTTTACTTGCATCATTGGGAGTAAACATTGCCAGATTTGGTATTAGAGGGAGGAAACAGTGCCCTATCATTGGGAGGAATAGTGCCCCATTATTGCTATCAGTGGCAGAAATGGTGCTCTTTTTGTTGGTGTCAGTTGGCATAACAGTGTTTTGTATCAATGGGAGGAAAAATGCCAGATAAAAGCAAGCAAGGGGCCACTTCCAGCCCCAGGGCCGCAGTTTGGAAACCATTGGATTAGAGTATGGTTATTCACTTTACTGCTTGCAGAGATGAGGTCCACCTGTTATAATGATATCAATGCCAAAAACAAGTCTAACACATTCATAAGCATAATTCTACCACCAAAACCTTTATTTCAAAAGGCAAAACTCAGAAACCAGAGCTATAAATTCCACATCCTCTTTGGGTGAGAATACAGTCTTATATTTTTGTATCATAAAATACTTCTAGTTGGGAGACCACTGAGGGATACAGTTATATGGTAATAAGTAACCAAGGATTATACTATTGTGCACAGAAGAAATGGACACTAGGCACATAGAAACTGAAGGTCAGCCCCACCAGAGTCTATCCCCCTCACACCAGTTGATGCAAGCAGTTCAAAAAAGAGAAAGGCATAAGAGGGGAGGGAGATGTGTACCAGAATAAACTTTGAGGAAAGGATTTTACCTTGAGTACAAAAGTTTTATTTTCTTCATTGTCCACTGACAGACACAGCTTTATGGTAATAAGCACAAAAAGAAAGTTTAAAAGCAGTGCAAAAGGGATGGACACGCCAAAAAAAAAAAAAAAAAAACAGGCAAACTAGCCCCCCCCCCCCCCCCCCCCCCCAAAAACATAGCAAGAGGATAACAAGAACATCAAAATAGCCATTACCTTGTGGAAACAACCTCCAGCATCCAAGAATTGCTATGGGAGATTCCCAAATGTCTGTGACGACCATCAAATGTCTACCACCAGTGATGAAACTGGTGGGGGAATTTATCTGCAGGTTTAGAGCTCTTGGCTTCAACTGTTGGTGAAGCAAGTAATTTGTTTGAACCAGCTTGTTCCAAATTAACTATTTAAAGTTAAATGAAACATGGAGATCAGCTTTAAGTGTCTTTTTCTCCTGTACGCGGCAGCATAACCATTGCTTTCTTATTACCATAAAGCTGTGTCCCTCAATGGACAACAGAGAAATTACAATTTTGATGATAGGTCAACCAGGTTTCTATTTGATTATTTTGTAAACCTAGCAAGGCAAAATTATAATTTACCTTAGAGAGATAAAAAAAAAAAAAAAAAGAGTGGGCATGCACTTACTGTATATTTCATAATAAAAATGCATTTCAGGAAAAAAACAGGGGTTATCAAGTCCCAAATTAAAGTTATTCTTTACAAGACACTTGACGTAAGTTGATGCTTTGCCCAGGCAGGGAAAAGCAACAGGTTCACTCAGATGGAGCCTCCGCCAGCAATTTATACACTGCATAAATAAATACTTTTTAATCAGAGTATTGCATCATGTTAATTAAACTCCTGGGATATTGATTTGGTAAATTAAGTAGCAGAGGGGATTGTTAATTAGTTTCAGCTGAATGATGTTTGGCGTTAATGAAATTAACAACATGTGCACTAGATAGGCAACAATGAGACAACCCCCAAAACAGGAATGGTTTTAAAGGTGGAGGCCACTGACATTTTTTGCCTACTCATCTTTTCTGTTTCCCACTAGTTTTGCATTTGGCTAGGGTCAGTGTCACAAGTGGTAGCATGACGTGATACCTGGACCCTACAAAGGTTGCACAGGCAGTACAACTCCTCCAGGATGGCACATCAATACGTGTCGTTGCCAGAAGGTTTGCTGTGTCTCCCAGCACAGTCTCAAGAGTATGGAAGAGATTCCAGGAGACAGGCAGTTACTCTAGGAGAGCTGGACAGGGCCGTTGAAGGTCCTTAACCCATCAGCAGGACCAGTATCTACTCTGTTGTGCAAGGAGAAACAGGATGAGTACTGCCAGAGCCCTACAAAATGACCTCCAACAGGCCACTAGTGTGAATGTCTCTGATCAAACAATCAGAAACAGACTTCATGAGGATGGCCTAAGCGCCCGACGTCCTCTAGTGGGCCCTGTGCTCACTGCCCAGCACCACAGAACTCGATTGGCATTTGCCACTGAACACCAGAATTGGCAAGTCCGCCACTGGCGCCCTGTGCTTTTCACAGATGAGAGTAGATTTACCCTAAGCACATGTGACAGACGTGAAAGGGTCTGGAGAAGCCGTGGAGAACGTTATGCTGCCTGTAACATCGTTCTGCATGACTGTTTTGGTGGTGGGTCAGTGATGGTCTGGGGAGGCATATCCATGGAGGGATGCACAGACCTCTACAGGCTAGACAATAGCACCCTGACTGCCATTAGGTATCGGGATGAAATCCTTGGATTCATTCTCAGACCCTACGCTGGTGCAGTGGGTCCTGGGTTCCTCCTGGTGCACAACAATGCCTGGCCTCATGTGGTGAGAGTATGCAGGCAGTTCCTGGAGGATGCAGAAATTGATAACAATGAATGGCCCCCAAGCTTGCCTGACCTAAATCCAATAGAATACCTCTGGGATATCATGTTTCGGTCAATTCGATGCCGCCTCTGTTTCTAACACAATACCCAGTCCATATCAGTATAGATATCCAGCATGATATTTTTCCTCATTGAGATCTGCTGTGTTTTGAAAGCGTTCCTTTGATTTTTTTGAGCAGTGTATTTCTTCTTGCTGCTTTGTTTGGCAGAACAGATACAAAGACTGTTAGTCCTTTGTAAGCTTCAAGCCATGCCTTCCCATGTGACAGTACTGCCTGCCTGAAAGACAGAACAATTGCCAAGCACCAGCACTGTTACATGGGACAAAGGGCAGTAGTCATATGCTTCCCATACCCAGCTATTGAACAGTAAAGAAAAGGCTGAGAAAGATTGTCTTTGCCGATCAAGCAAGGCTTCCCTGGCTAATATCAAGACTGTTATGAGTGTTATAGTGAGGAGTCACATGTATTGGTTGGAAAGAACTTCCAGGAAGGGTTGGGAGAGAGAAGAAATGTTTGGACTGTTTGCAGCACAACCACATCCTGAATTCTGAAAAAAATTGTAGCCAAAGCTATGTGCCACTGTGAGTACACACAGTACATACAGCATGAAAGTGAAATAATGACATATCTGGGGTTACGACAGATAACATAAGTATAAACTGATCTGTAGACGTCCCCCCATAAATTAACCTATCGCTTTCCCTACAGGGGCAAAGCACAGACTTGTTTTAATTCACATGTGTTAACAGAAGACAAAAAAACACTGAAGTTGAAGTAGCAAAAATTAAGAAACAGTGTCAGTTTTGTACAATCACCTTCACAGCATACTCCTTGTTGGTGATTAGGTTAATGCAGCTTTGGACTCTGGCATATGCTCCTTCACCAAGAACCTCATCTTGCAGCTGGTACATGTCTGTATAAAGCATATTTGGACATTCATATTATTTAAGAATATCATGAAGTAAACATGTCACTATCACATAAACTGTAAAAAACTCAAAAAAGGGTAGCATGAACAGTGGAGCATAAAAGTTTGTGAACCCTTCTGAAACGTTAATATTTTTACATAAGGACCTAGATCTGCAAGTCCTAAATCTAGATAGTGAGAGCCCAACAAAACAATTAAAAAGTAAATGTTTTATTTGTCACGGATCTCAAGATCGCCGCCACCAACATGCACGATCCCACGATCGCGACGTCTATTATGTCACGATCACGGCGTCAGATCCCAGACCTTCTCCCCAAAACTCGTGACCGAAGGGCTAGCCGACCTAAAACCGCGATGTGACGTGCGTAACAATGCCACACCCATCTGTCCCCTGCACAACGATTTTCCAGCTAATGAATACAGATCGACCTGCCAGCAGCCTGGATCGATTGTTACTGGGTCAGGTTAATTAGGCAATTAACCATTCACACTGCCACCACCTCCTTTATATTCAGAGAAAGAGGAAACTTGACGTTCAGCTATAACAAAATAATGGTTGATATAATCGACTGCATAACCCGGTCATAATACAGGCCTGTTATACAGAGGGTTAAAACAAACAGTAGCGTCTCTTTAAAGGCAGGGATTCGTAAATTGCAATTAAGAGCTAAAGAAACAGTTCAACACTTTCAGAAAGAGAGATTTATTACTAAAAGGGTCAAACAGGTGCAATAAAAATATTTACAGAGAAGATGTAACTAAGATATATATATATACATATACATATACAAAAAAACAGCACAGCACAGCAAAGAGATAACAGGGAGAAGTTAAAGGGTTAAGTTACTTGCCATTAAACCTTGGATGTAAGCAGATCACGTTTCAGAGCGAAAGGTAGTATATTGATGTTAAAATGGGAGATGTCTTCAACTTAACTCTTAGGCTTGACAGCCTGTTTTAAAGTTTCCCAGCAGGGGGTGGTTCTGAAGTAAAAGACCAATCCCCTGTTTAGGGAGGAATCGTCAGGCGGAGCCCTAAACTGGAGCCAACATCTTTCCTAACTCATACTCTGGTCCATAACCTTCCATCTGCACCAGGGACCTCCCACCCGCAGGTAGATTATTATGCAGACAATTCTGAGGATTGACCAGATATGAATTATGAAGTTGTATGCTACATGGTTCACAAGATCTATTTCTCTGCTTTCCTGTGTGCCCGAGATAAGGCGAGTGACCCATCAAACTGTTCGCTTGCTCATCGTCCATCCGATGATATGTTCGGCTTTTATGTATGTCTCTCATATTCCAAGATGAGACATAGGGGAAAAATGGATCTTTTAAAAATGTTATCTGGTGTGGGCTCCTTGGGAATGCCTTGAACTCCTGGGAAGGCTCTGTTATCTTTTTACGAGGTGTGAAATTGCACAGGTTCTTTGGACAGTGCTGCACCACGTGGCTCCCTGCTGGGATCTGGCCTGTGACACTTTTAACACACACACATCTGTCACTGTGCCTCTCAGGAAGGGAGGGGGAAGGAAAATGAGGGAATAACAACTCTTAACAAAATGGCAGACTGTGTCAGTCTCTGGCGCGCACGTTTGCGACATTATTTTCGTAGGAAACATATGCTAACTGGTGTGCCCCTACCAGGAAGCAATACCTGAAGCAAAACATTTTCAGTTACTGTTGATCTGTCTGCTGGCATGAAGTGCTCACTGCAGATCCTTCCACAAACGTTTTGTAGGATTAAGGTCAGGACTTTGAGATGGCCATTTGAAAACATGAACTTGTCTTAACCACCTCAATACTGGGCACTTTTACACCTTCCTGCCCAGCCCAATTTTCAGGTTTCAGCGCCCTCACACTTTGAATGACAATTGCGCAGTCATGCAACACTGTACCCAAACTAAAATGTTATCATTTTGTTCAGACAACTAGAGCTTTCTTTTGGTGGGGTTTTTATTTTCTGCTAAATTAACAAAAAAAAAGACCAAAAATTTTGAAACAAAAAAAATGTTTCTTTGTTTCTGTTATAAGTTTGCAAATAATAAAAATAATTTAGGCCAAGATGTATTCTGCTACATTTCTTTGGTGAAAATAACCCAAATCAGTGTTTATTATTCAGTCTGTTGGAAAGTTATAGAGTTCACAAACTATGGTATATATCTGAAAATTGATCAACCCTGAAGTACTGACGACCAATCTAATTTCTTGAGGCCCAAAAATGTCAGAACAGTACAGATATCCTCCAAAATAACCCCTTTTTTGCAAAGTAGACAGTCCGACACATTTCATAAGTGGCATGGAGAGTTTTTTGAAGTTGTAATTTTTTTGTCATAATTTTTCAGAAAATTAAGAAATTAAAAAAATTATTTTCACAATTTTTTTTTTACATACTGTCACCAGTGCAGTACAGTACAGTGTCATCATATAACTGGTGTGGCGGTGATCAGGGACACTGACTGGTGAAAGTATAAAAAACTTTTTTTTATAATTTTCAATTTATTTTTATTTTTCATTATTTTTTTAATTTTTATTAAATGTTTTTCTCTTTTTTTAAATTTTGTTTTCATATTATACTATGACCAAAGTAGTACAATGTTACCATAGTAACATTGTACTACTTTGGGGAAGTGATTAGTATTTTTGTTTTTTTACAGAATTTGATTGCTTATAGCAAAGAATTTCTTTGCTATAAGCAAGCATTTAACTGAATGAAATCGATTAATTCAGCTTTTTTTTGTTGTGATTAGTCACGGCTAATCACACGACACAGATATGCTGTGACTGGCCCAGCCTGTGCATGTGATCACTGTGACCATTCACAGCTAGACACACTTGTCATGAAAGAAAGCCATCCAGTGTATACAACTGTCATGTGACCTGCTGTGATTGGTCGCAGCAGGTCACATGGTACTGACAACTGGGCCGATTCACAGATCTGTCATCGGCCATGTCCGACGGACACAGCGGTGACAGATCTCGCCACAGCGCAGCTCTCGGGGCACGCGCATATGACGCCCTCCCAGACGTACGAGTGGTTCGCCCGGTCGTCATATTACTATAGGCCAGGCCAGAAGTGGTTAAGCAATCTTTGACAGATTAGCTTGCTTGCCTAGGGTCATTACCTTTGTGTATGGCACTTAAATCAGTATTAAACCCAAAACCAAAAATGTAATCTATAGCAGCTTACAAATCATTAGATGTGGTGGTTGCATTATTTTTATTGTTTAGGCTTTTTCCCCGTTTTCACCTGGTGATCTGGCCAATGACAAACCTCTTGTATTCAGAGTGCCCTCACTCTGGATGAAGGAACACAGGGGCATCTTTGGTCAGCAGCACGGTCAGTCTGGGGGATGGGGTTGTTAGGTATACTAGCAGAACTAAAACCATTGCAAAGAGCAGGCAAGTATGATAGGCTTGGTTTTTTTTTGTAAGTGAACCTTTAATAAATAACCTGTAATAAATAACTGAATAGGTGAAATGTATTTGAGTCCTTTAACTTTGTTCTCAGTATACTTGTGCGAAAAATAGACGCTTACACTATATATACAATTTATTTCACATATGTACATATATTATCTCTATGAAATGTATTTTTTTAATGAAATAATGACCTTCAAATCGTCCAGAAAAGCTGTCTGTTGCTCTGCATCGCTTTTTCTTCTTTGTTCTCTTTTTGGCATCAGGAATATCAATGGGAGCACTAGATGGCAACTCTTTGGGAGGAACAAACATAATGTTATATTGAAAAAAGGTCAAATATAGTGGTCTCTTCAATCTTGAAGACAATGAATGCCTAAACAAAATATATCAAAAGGACACCATTGTGTCCCATGATTTTTTTTTTCTTTTACAAAGGGTTTTATTATAGAATAAGCAGAGATAAACAAACATTCGAGAAACATATTCATTGACCAACAAATATGAGACCTACAGGGCAATTGAGAAATATTTCAGAGCATGTACTGGTAGAAACATAAGCATTAACTGAATATTTAAGTGCGATGGAAGAGAAGACTGGGAAGGGGAGAAAAAAAAAAGGGAGTAGGGGGGAGACGATGAGCAAACATTTGGAGGTCAAAAGACAATGCAAACTCTAAGAGAAAGTTTTGCTATATCAGCGTATAGAAAACAGGAGAGGCATGAAATGAAGCCTCTCCAAATGTTAATATATATTCCAGACATTGGGCTCACAAAAGAGTCCAGGTTGCATAGGTAGTATTGCAGATGTAGCACACAGAGCAATGATCACAATCATTACAATTGGCATAAGAACAGATTGGACAGAAGACTAGAGAAGGACAATCAATGAAAAGATGAGGACAAAGACAAAACATAAAAAGAAAAACAAAAAGACAAAAACAAATCACAAAAGGGCTCCAGGGCGACCACAACAGAATCGATCCTCATACCGACAGAAGGGACTGGTCAAATCTCAACGGTTGGGCTGTATCCAGCCAGGGACGCCATATCTGCAGGAATTTTGTATGGGTATCCAACAGTATAGCCGGCAGTTTTTCATTAACCATTATGAAGTTCATCCGGTTTTTGACAGCCTCAAAGCTGAGGAGAGGAGTCTTCCAAGCCCTCGCAATTGTCAATTTAGTAGCCATAAATAGATGTGATGCCAGCTGCCATTCAGGACGGAGAAGGCCCTCCAGTGGTTTAAATAGGAGCGCTTTGTACGGGTTACGCTTAATGTCTGTGAAGCATAGTGCGGAGAAGGGCATAAACCCTAATCCACAATCTGCTATCCTTAGGGCAAGTCCACCAGATGTGGACCATAGTACCCAATTGTTGGCACCCCCGAAAACAAGCCAGGGAATATGTAGGGATAAAATTAGCTAGACGAGCAGGCGTATAATACCATCGATAAAGAATTTTGTAGGCATTTTCGAGAATGATGACATTCCTAGAACATTTAGATAATGCTTGGGTCATGGTCCGCCAATCCTGTTGATCCAAAGTCCCCCCAAGTTCCGACTGCCAACGCTGATGATAGGAACGAACCGGAGGAGTTCTATAAGAAATAATGGAAGAGTAAACCAAGGAAATCAGACCCGAAGCATGGGGTCTATGTCTGCACTGGCTTTCAAAGGGGGACAGATGGTAAGGTCCCGAGTGCGTCCGTATTAGTGTATTAATAAAGTGACGGAGTTGAAGGTAACCAAAGTGTTCCCGTAAAGGGATATTATAGGAAGAGCGCAGAGTTTCAAAGGTAAGTATTCGAGTAGGAGATAGCAGCGAATGTACATCATAAAAACCATGTGTTTGCCACTAGGCAAACTGCCTAGGATTGTCCCGACCTGGAGGGAATAACGGGTTATGTAACAGACGTAACAACGGTAGATGGGCAGAAAAAAGGCCAGCGGAATATTTAATAGAATCCCAAAGTCGAAGTGAAAGCGTCAGCGTCGGGCTAAGGGTTGATGGGCGATGAGAAAAAGGAAGCCACGGCAAGGAAGAGAGTGGTATCGGATGGGAGTCCAACAAATCTACAGCAGCCCAAAAGGGGAAATGGTGAGATGCATGAATATGAGCTAGGGGGGAAATATTAGCTGCCAGATAATAAGACTGGAGATTTGGGACAGATAACACACCCTCACTCCTTCGTGCAATAAGATATATTTACTAATTCTGGGTTGAGAAGAACTCCAAATGAAGGACAAAAGTTTTCGCTGATGGATACGCATATATGCGAAGGAACAGGAACTGGTGAAACGCAAGATAAATACAATAATTTAGGGAGATAGATCATACGGATTGCATTGATTCTGCCGAACCATGAAATTGGGTAATGAGACCAGGAGGACAACATCTCGGTCAGCTCGTGGAAGACAGTGGGGAAATTAGCCCGGTATAGTCTGTCATATGTCGGGGTGAGCTTAATTCCTAGATATGGTAGGGCCGAGAGCCATTGAAAAGGGAACGAATGTTTCAAAGTAGCCAAAAGTGATGGTAGGAGAGTAATTGACATAGCTTTTGATTTGGCAGGATTGACATGAAGACCCAAAAGAATTGCAAAGGAATCCAGAACCGCAAGTAAATTTGGCAAAGATTCGTGATTGACAACAGTATATCATCTGCGAACAGAGACAACCTATGTTGGGAGCCAGCCACATCAATCCCCTTAATATCAGGATGCATACGAATAGCTTCTGCCAACGTTTCCAAGGCTAAGATAAAAAGTATGGGGGAAAGCGGACAACCTTGCCTAGTACCCCTGGCACCCATGATTTTTTTTTTAGTGCCATTGAATTTGTATGGACATCTTTTAAGTTATACAGAAACAAAAAAAGTCAAAGTACATAGTAACATGGCCGGTAACAGACAAGGAACATTAAGCCCAACACAGCGATCACCCATAACTTTATGACCACTGACAGGTTAAGTCAATAACATTGATTGTCTTGTTACAATGGCATCTGAAAGTCAGTGGGATGTATTAGGCAGCAAGTAATCATGTTGTCCCCGAAGCTTGTGTGTTAAAAGCAGAAAAATTGGGCACAGCACTTTGTTGCGTATGGGGGCTGTGTAGTCACAGATTGGTCACGGTGCCCATGTGGACCCATGTCCACAGCAAAAAGTGCCTAATAATGGGTACGTAAGTATTAGAATTGGACCATGAAGCAATGAAAGAAGGTGGCCTGTTTTGATGAATCATGTTTTCTTTTACATCATGTGAATAGCTGGGTGCGTATGCGTCGCTTTCCTGGGGAAGAGATGGCATGTACGATGGGAAGAAGGAAAGCCGATGAAGGCAGTGTTCTGCTGGAAAATCTTAGGTCCTGTCATGCATGTGGATGTTGCTTGACATGTACCACCTAACTAAACATTGTTGCTGACAAAGTACACCCCTTCACAGAAACAGTATACCGATTGCAGTGACCACTTTCAGCAGGATAATGCGCCCTGCCACACTACAAAAATGGTTCAAGAAAGGATTGAGGAACATGAGTTTTGAGGTGTTGACTTCCAAATTCTCCAAATCCCAAGCCAATCTGGAATCTGTGAGATATGTTGGAAAAACAAGTCTGATCCATGGAGGCCTCACTTTGAAACTTACAGGATCTGCTACTGACAGCTGGGTGCCAAATACCACAGCTTACATTCAGAAGTCTAGTGGCATCAATGCCTTAACGGGTCAGGGATGTTTAGGCAGCATAAGGGGGACCTACTCTATATTAGTTGGGCGGTCATAAAGTTATGGCCGTCAACACACAAGTAAACAGATTTTCACTTATGAAGGTGCTGGTTCACATGTATGCAATCTATGTGGTGACGGAAGTGCAAGTGAAATCATCAGCAGTACTGTGCCTCATTGTGGCTTGTGTACAGTACATTTCCCCTTAGTTTGAGGCTGAACTTCAGATTGAATGTTCATAATAAAAAATACTGGATTTTCAGCTTAGCGGTTTATACAGATAATAAACAGTTTGTGTTATTTAAATAAAAAAATGTATATAGAAATTGCAATTTTTAAAGATTATGTTCCTCCCCTGGTCTTGACAAAGATAGTGTCCAGCTATCAATATTAATGGGAAAACATAACATCACCAAGGTGTGCTTTAATGTATATAAATGCTGGTTTCCCAACAGACTGTGTGCTGAACATGTGTGGTTTTTCACGGATTTTCTTGCATCTGTTATGTATGCACTAGCGCCCCTCATGTACAGAAAAAAAAAATAGCTCTTTGCCCAAGCATGCACATGCTGGTGTAACATCAGAGTGCGAGAGTTGGGATTCACTCCCACACTCTTGAAGGGCTGCGATCAATCTGGTGGCAAAATCTTGTGCAAGTCTGGTAGTCATCATTTTTTACAGCAACTACCGCCAAATGCGTGGGATCTCCCTACCATATTTTAATGTCAGAAACATGGCTGCAAAATTCCATTCATAAGTCGGAGTAATGGCTGTACAGGTTGGTCACTAGCATGCATTAATGGGATCTCACCTTTACACTGGGGCTTGCACATGAACAGTACTTGAGGAAGTACTTCATGCAGTTTTGGGGAGTGGAGGCTTGAGGGTACACTTACAGAACTGCCAGCCCTTCTTATACCTGTCCTCTCTCTCACCCTGATGCTGTTACAAAAGGAGGCGAAGGACCATCATAGAAAAAGTGCTGGTAGGCAGAAGTTTGAAAAGTGTACCACACCACTGTTTCAACCACTCTACAGTGCCTTGAAAAAGTATTCAAACCCCTTGAAAGTTTGCACATTTTCTCTTGTTACGATCAAAAACATAAATTTATTTTATTGGGATTTTATGTGATAGACCAATATATAGTGGCACATAATTGTGAAGTGGAAGGAAAATGCTAAATTATTTTCAAAATGTTTTACAAATAAATATGGGAAAAGTGTGGCGTGCATTTGTGTTCAGCCCTCCTGAGTCAATGCTTTGTAGAGCCACCTTTTGCTGCAATTACAGCTTCTAGTCTTATTGGATATGTCTCTACCAGCTTGTCAGAGCCTAGGTCCGAACCTGAGCCTTCTGTGGAGAGTGGCAATGTTTCTTCTTGCTGAGCCACCTGGAATGCTGGACAGCTCCCTTGACAATTATTTGGATGATCCTACCTTGACCTTGTTTATCTTGAACCTTGAAACCCTTGCTCCTCCCATGAACTTCCTGATATAAGCCATGTCTCTGCACTTCCTGTTTGCCAAATTATTGTGCCTTCTCCAGCCAGTATCTCGCTTTGTCTCTCCTGCTGCTGTCCATACCTTCGCTACCGACCTTTGGCTTGTTCCTTGACTACGATTCTGCCTCATCCCAACCTGCTACCGCTTGTTACCGACCCTTGGCTTCTTTACTGACTACGCTTCTGCTAGATCCCTACCTGCAGTATCTGCTAATGGATCCTGGCTTGCTCACTTCCTGGTGGGGTGATCCGGAGAACTGCGACCTGGTACTAAAATGCAGCAAAATCCATCTCCACCATCAGGAGCTCTGGTGAATATCGGTTAGTGCTTAGAACCCGCACCTCAGGTGAGCCTGCGTAATTTCCCAGGGTGACCTGCTTATTTACCTATCCTGTTGGTTGGTCTGCTGCTATAGCTACTGGTCTCTGAACTTGACCTCACACTTTAACACACCTTTGCACATCTAGAGTGAAATTTTTGCCCATTCATCTTTGCAAAACAGCTCAAGCTCTGTCAGACTGGATGGAGAGCATCTGTGAACAGCAATTTTCAAGACTTGCCACAGATTGTCAATTGGATTTAGTTCTGGACTTTGACTGGGCCATTTTTCTAACACATGAATATGCTTTGATCTAAACCATTCCATTGTAGCTCTGGCTGTAAGTTTAAGGTCGTTGTCCTGCTGGAAGGTGAACCTCCGCCCCAGTCTCAAGTCTTTTGCAGACAGATTTTCTTTTAAGATTGCCCTGTATTTGGCTCCATCCATCTTCCCATCAACTCTTACCAGCTTCCCTGTCCCTGCTGAAGAAAAGCATCCCCACAACATGATGCTGCCACCACAATGTTTCACGATGGTAATGGTGTGTTCAGGGTAATGTGCAATGTTAGTTTTATGCCACACATAAGATTTTGCTTTTATGCCAAAAATTTCAATGTTGGTCTCATCTGACCAGAGCACCTTCTTCTGCATGTTTGTTGTGTCCCCCACATGGATTCTCACAAACTGCAAATGGGATTTCTTATGGCTTTCATTCAACAATGGCTTTCTTCTTGCCACTGTTCCATAAAGGTCAGATTTGTGGAGTGCAGAACTAATAGCTGCCCTGTGGTGACGGATTCTCCCACCTAAGCTGTAGATTTCTGCAGCTCCTCCAGAGTTACCATGGGCCTCTTGACTGCTTCTCTGATAAATGCTCTCCTTGCCCGACTTGTCAGTTTAGATAGACGGCCATGTCTTGGTAGGTTTGCAGCTGTGCCATACTCTCTCGATTTTTGGATGATGGATTGAACAGTGCTCTGTGAGATGTTCAAAGCTTGGGATATTGTCTTATAATCTAACCCAGCTTTAAACTTCCCCCCAACTTTATCCCTGACCTGTCTGGTGTGTTCCTTGGCCTTCATGATGCTGTTGGTTCACTACTGTTCTCCAACAATAGAACAGCTGTATTTATACTGAGATTAAATTACACACAGGTGGACTCTATTTACTAATTAGGTGACCTCTGAAGGCAATGGGTTCCACTAGATTTTAGTTAGAGGTATCAGAGTAAAAGGGGGACTGAACACAAATGCATGTCACATTTTTCAGATATTTATTTGTAAAAAATTTTGAAAGCCAGTTATCATTTTACTCCCACTTTGCAAATATGTACCACTTTGTGTTGGTCTATCACATAAAATCACAATACAATAACGTTTTTGGTTGTAACATGACCCCCTTCCAATCACCTAAGCACCAGTTCATACCATAGAAACGCAATCCAGATGCATTTCCACATGTGCTTTTTTTACGCATTGCGGTGCGTTTCAGTAAATGTTTTCCCCTCTTTTTCTTCAATTTAAACAGGGATGTGTGTTCCAGTGTGTTTTTGGTCCGCTTTGGTGCATTCCAGTGCATTCTTGTGTTTTTGATGCGTTTTAACCACGTTCCAGTACAGTTCTTTGAAGGAAAAATGCAGCCTGTTCTTTTTTTTCTGCAACTGAAACGCATTGGAACTGCAAGCACTGATGTGAACTATGACACTGACAACCATATAACCTATTTTCTGTGTTTTGGATGCAGAAAAAAAGAACACTGAAAACGCATGTAGTGTGAACTGGCCCTTAATCCAATTTCTCTCATTATGCCACCTCCCCACGCCCTCATATCACAATCCTTGTCTATTATGAAACATGCACACTTTTGATGGCAATAATTTATAAGTGCATTGTTATTATTTTTACCAGGGCGTGAAGAGCATTCAAAATTGAACACAGGCTCCAAATTTCTGGACTGTCCTTCATAATCTTCTGTCTCAAAAGGATTTGGGCTCTAAAACAAGGAAAAACATTTTTCGAAAGTGAACCACTATTACATTGCTGCAGTGTTACGTTCAGTATAATTGAAACTTTATAAATGGAGCACATTATTGAATCTGAAAGCCACATATTCATACATAGAACAAAGAGAAGCAAAGGAATACAACCAATTTATCCCTGACACTTTTTTTGGATACATACATGACAGGTTTAAGAGATAAGATGTTTTTGCACACTTCTCACCTCAGTGTGGGCAGGGTGAGAGTTACTGCCCTTTTGTAATGTTCATAGATCTTTCACCAAAGGCCAAAAAGAAAACAGGCCTTTTTGTTAGAGGTCATAACTCTAGTGGCATATAAAATGTATGTCCCTATTCAGATCACATTTCAGAGTTTAGAATTTTTATATGAGTGTATGGGCCTATTTACACCTATGCTTTTTAACATACGTTGACACATGTACAATTTAGCTGCTAGTTGAAATGGCATTAGTTCACATCTGTGGGACATGCAATGGAGTGCAAAAAAGTTCATGTCCATGTTTTAATGTGTCAAGAGTCTACGGATATGCAAAAAACCCCCCCCCATAAAAACAAGAATCAGCGCATGGTACACTTTATTAACAATGTACTTAAAGTGTTACTAAACCCAGGATCCTGAATTCACTATATCTGGTCTCCCACAGTACACAGAACATGGAGTTGCAATTGTTTTAGTAAATATAAATTGCAAAATAACTTTTCTTATCAGCAGTTAGAGCAGTCGTGACTTCTATCAGTGTCCAGCAGAGCACAGGTTGTAGTAGGAGTTTTCATTTTGATCTAGGAGGGTGCAGAACCTCTGTCTGGACAGTGCTGATCACATGCACTCTCCCAAGAAAAAAAATCTCTCTAGCAATACACAGCAAACTGAGCATGTGCAGAGTGGCTCCTGAATATATCTTATCAGGAGATAAGAGTTCACACTGGAAGAAGGGGAGCATCAGAAGACAGGATCAAAGTCTTTTATTACACAACAAAGAGGATTAACTCCTTAGTTTCCACAGTGAGTAGATCAAGCATGCTTTACTGCATATAGTGAGGAAGAGAAGTATTTGAACACCTTGGGGTCTGAAATTCACATTGTAGGTGCATTTCCACTCTGAGAGACAGAATTTAAAAAAAAATTCAGGAAATCACATTGTATGATTTTAAAAGAATTTATTTGTCTTGCACTGCTGAACATAAGTATTTGAACACCTGAGAAAATCAGTGTTATTATTTGGTACAGAAGCCTTTGTTTGCAATTACAGAGGTCAAACGTTTCCTGTAGTTCTTGACCAGGTTTGCACACACTGCAACAGGGATTTTGGCCCACTCCTCCACACAGATCTCCTCTAGATCTGTCAGATTTTGGGGCTGTCACTGAGCAACACGGAGTTTCAGCTCCCTTCAAAGATGTTCTATTGGATTTAGGTCTGGAGACTGGCTGGGCCACTCCAGAACCTTGATATGCTTCTTACAGAGCCACTACTTGGTTATCCTGGCTGTGTGCTTCGGGTCGTTGTCATGTTGAAATACCCAGCCACGACCCATCTTCAATGCTCTGACTAAGGGAAGGAGGTTGTTGCTCAAAATCTCACAACAAATGGCCCCATTCATTCCTCTCCTTAATACAGTGCAGTCATCCTGTCCCCTTCGCAGAAAAGAACCCCCAAAGCATGATGTTACCACCCCCATGCCTCACAGTAGGGATGGTGTTCTTGGGATGCAACTCATCCTTTTTCCTCCAAACACGACGAGTGAAGTTTAGACCAAAACGTTCTACTTTGGTCTCATCTGACCACATGACTTTCTCCCATGCCTCCTCTGGATCATCCAGATGGTCATTGGCAAACTTCAGACGGGCCTGGACATGTGATGATTTGAAACCATGACGGCGTAGTGTTCTACCGACAGTAACCTTTGAAACTGTGGTCCCAGCTCTCCTCGGGTCATTGACCAGCTCCTCCCTTGTACTTCTGGGCCGATTCCTCACCTTTCTTATCATCAGTGATACCCCACGAGGTGAGATCTTGCATGGTGCCCCAGTCCGAGGGAGACTGACAGTCGTCTTTAGCCTCTTCCATTTTCTAACAATTGCTCCAACAGTTGATCTACTTTCACAGTAACAGGTCTTTGGGAGCCAGAATTCTTGCTGTTTCTTAGGTGTTCAAATACTTATGTTCAGCAGTGCAAGACAAATAAATTCTTTTAAAATCATACAATGTGATTTCCTGAATTTTTTTTTTATTCTGTCTCTCAGAGTGGGAATGCACCTACAATGTAAATTTCAGACCACTCCATGATTTCTAAGTGGGATAACTTGCAAAATCGCAGGGTGTTCAAATACTTCTGTTCCTCACTGTATACAGACTGATTTTACTGTTATGGGTTTAGTAACACTCTAAAACAATGAAAATGCCCACAGAATGGTATACATTGAAGGAAATAAGTATTTGATACCCTGCTGATTTTGAATGTTTTCCCCACTCACAAGGAAATAATCAGTCTAAATTCGAATAGTAGGTGTATTGTAACACAGAGACAGAATAGCAACAAAAAAATTCAAAAGAAATGCATGTCTAACAAATTATGCACTGATTCATGAGGGAAATACGTATTTGACCCCCTTCACAAAACATGACTTAGTATTTGGTGGCAAATCCTTTGTTGCCAATCACAGAGGTCAGACGTTTCCTGTAGTTGGCCACCAGGTTTGCACACATCTCAGGAGTCATTTTGGCCCACTCCTCTTGGAAGATCCTCTCCAAGTCATTAAGGTTTGGTGGCTGACATTTGGCAACTCGAACTTTCAGCTCCCTCCACAGATTTTCAGTTGGATTAAGGTCTGGAGACTGGCTAGGTCACTCCAGGACCTTAATGTGCTTCTTCTTGAGCAACTCCTTTGTTGCCTTGGCCGTGTGTTTTGGGTCATTGTCATGCTGGAACACCCATCCACGACCCATTTTCAATGCCCTGGCTGAGGGAAGAAGGTTCTCACCCAAGGTTTGATGGTACATTGCCCCGTCCATCGTCCCTTTGATGCATGGCAGCTGTTCTGTCCCCTTAGCAGAAAAACACCCCCAAAAGCAGAATGTTTCCACCATCATGTTTGACAGTTGGGATGGTGTTCTTGGGGTCATAGGCAGCATTCCTCCTCCTCCAAACACGGCGAGTTAAGTTGATACCAAAGAGCTCAGTTTTGGTCTCATCTGACCACAACACTTTCAACCAGTCCTCCTCTGCATCATTCAGATGTTCAGTGGCAAACTTCAGACAGGCCTGGACATGTGCTTTCTTGAGCAGAGGGACCTTGTGGGCACTGCAGGATTTCAATCCCTGTCGGCGTAATGTGTTACCAATTGTTTTCTTGGTGACTGTGGTCCCAGCTGCCTAGAGATCATTGACAAGATCCTCACGTGTAGTTCTGGGATGATTCCTCACTGTTCTCATGATCGTTGACACTCCACAAAGTGAGATCTTGCATGGTGCATCAGACCTAGGGAGACTGACAGTTGTTTAATCTTTCTTCCATTTGCGAATGATTGTACCAACTGTTGTCACCTTCTCACCAAGCTGCTTGGCGATAGTTTTGTAGCCCAGTCCAGCCTTGAGTAGGTCTACAATCTTGTCTCTGACATCCTTGGACAGCTCTTTGGTCTTTGCCATGGTGGAGAGTTTGGAATTGTTTGATTGCTCCTGTGTCTTTTATACAGGTAACAAAATGAAATTAGCAGCACTCCCTGTAGCCTCCTTAGCGGTATGATTGTCAATATTTTTGTGCTCAAAGCGGTACATTTTTTTGCATGGAAATATGTCGTTTTTTTATTGTAGGCCTGTAATTTTTAGGAATAACGCACTGAAATCTGTCCGAACAAGAGTCCAGTAAACATCCCGGGCATGTTAAAATTTGAAACACGAAATCATAAATTATAATTTAATAAATAATCATAAAAAATAATATAATAATAATAAATTTATTTCAATAATATAATCAAACCAAAAACAATGAAATTTGAAATATAGCGCCAAGTTCGCACATCACTGAGCAAAGTCTCAAAATCGTTTTCAGTATCTGATGGCGAATTTCCCCACGAATCATTATCACTCAATTCTGCAAGTAGTTCTAATTTACTATCGCTGTTCTCTAGCTGGTATAAAACCGCTTTTGACCAAAAGGGATGCTTTTTGGACGCCATGGACATTTCTCCAGTTTCCAGGCAGCAAGAACAGTAAAACAAAATGTATGTGAAATGCTTTGATACAGTAATGTTTTACTTTGCGATTTTAGTGTATTTAGTGAATGTCACTTTTTGACATTTTTAAATTTCCCGCCGTTCCGTCCCCCGTACGTCTCGATGTCGCAGGGAACAGAACCCGGAAGACAGATGCTAGCATCGACCGGAGGAGATGGCCGGGGATGCTGCAGGAGGGACATCGCGGGAGCGAAGGACAAGGTAAGTGCAGAAGGGATCCCGAAGCAAGGTATTCCCGAGTGTAGCTTGGGGTTAGCGCATGTGGTGCTGAAACTTTACCCCGAGCTACACTCGGGAATACCGCCAGCGGGGTTAATAGACTGCTTCTAATCTCAACTTGTTACCTGTATGAAAGACACCTGGTAGCCAGAAATCCTGCTGAATGATAGGGGATCAAATACTTATTTCCCTCATGAAGATGCAAATCAGTGCATAATTTGTTAGACATGCGTTTCTATTGAATTTTTTGTTGCTATTCTGTCTCTCAGTGTTACAATACACCTACCATTTGATTTTTAGACTGAACATTTCTTTGTGAGTGGGCAAACATTCAAAATCAGCAGGGGATCAAATACTTATTTCCTTCACTGTAAATTCAGTCTACATTATTGTATAAAATAGAGAAACTACAGTGAGTGCTCCAATACTGTCAGCAGCTGAACATTCAGGGAAAACACATAAAAAGTCCCAAGACAAATAAACAAAAAATGCAGCGCTGTATGGTATAGTCCAATATAAGCAATAATTATAATATAAAGAT